GCAACACTTCATTCAGTTTCCTTATTTCCTCCCCTACATGTGCAGTTTACAGATAAAGTTGCATCGTTGCTTCCTCAAAGTTTTCCCAATTTGGGTCTAGTATTTGTGGAGACAAAGAAAGGAGCTAATTCGTTATAACGTTGGTTATACCTCAATGGTTTTCCTGCTACTACTATTTACTCAACAGGTAAAGAAAAGTAACAAATTTTTAAACTTGATCAGGCATGACTATATCCATATCCAGGTATTTGTTATTTTTATCCAGTTTGCTACCAAAATTGGAGTAAACGGGTATAACCAATTTTTAAACTTGATCAGACATGCCTATATCCATTTGATGCTGCTATAGTAGTGAAGAATTCTATTTAATTGCTGATTTATAATTTTTGTTTGGGCTTGCAGAGAATGGCATCAGACTTTCTTTCAAATTACTTATTTTTGGCAGTCGGCAGGGTTGGTTCCAGTTCTTAATTGTACGTTCAGGAAGGTGACAAGAGAAGCTATTTGATGGATCTTCTTCATGCTCAGAGTGGAATATTATATTATATTTTATCTTACTTTATTTTAATTTAATTTTTTTATTATTTTATGTTAATTATTATACTGTTATTTTATTTTATTTACTTTATTTTAAAATATATAATTCATTTATATAAATATATAAACGAAACAATAATTAAATAACGTTATTATCAAACAAACAAAAAATAATAAAAATAAAATGATAAATAAATATAAAAAATTATAATTATAATATAATAATATTTGATGTATTTATTTTAGAATTATTTTGTATTAAAATTAATTTTACTTAATAAATAAAATTTAGAAATTAAAATTATTTATTTACATTAGACTTATTTAATAAAAAATTATAATTTGTTTTGATTTTTTTATTCATATTGTATGTAAGAGATTATTTGATAATTAATATTTTTAGTTTTCTTGTATGAATTTAATAGTTATATTTACTTAATTTATTATTCTATAATAGGTTACTTTATTTATTATTTATTTTAGTTGATCATTTGTATACTTTATTTCTTTTATAATTATTATTTTTATGTTACTATAATTAGTCTATTTTAATTTTATTTATTTTTTAATTACAATTTATGTATTATATTTTCATTTAAAAGTTATTTATTTAATATATTTTAATAATTAAATTAAATTTTAATTCACGTTACTATATTAAATTTTATCTTAATTTAATTTTTTTATTATTTATGTTAATTTAATTTTTAGGAAGTTTTTATTAATATTGGCCTATTATACTGTTATTTTTTTAAAATATTTAATTCATTTATGTAAATATATTTATGGATAAATAAAATTAAATGTAGAAGATAAAAAATAATTGAAATAAAATTATAAATAAATATAAAAAATTATAAATATATTATGATAATATTTAATGTATTTATTTTAGAATTATTTTATATTAAAATTATTTTTTTAATAGGTTATTTTATTTATTATTTATTTTACTGATAATTTTTATACTTTATTTCTTTTATAATTATTATTTTTATGTTACTTTAATTAGTTTATTTTAATTTTAATTATTTTTTAATTCAGTTGCAGTATATAATTATTTATTTTAATTCATTTATATAAATATATATTTATTTAATATATCAAATCACATATGGATAAGTGAAATTAAATATGAATAAATGAAATTAAATTTAGAAGATAATGTAAATAATATTAAATTAAATTTATTATAATTATATAAAATATTATGAATTTAAAATAACGTTATTATCAAAACAAAACAGAATATAATTCAAATAAAATGATAAGTAAATATAAAAAATTATAATATTTAATTTTTTGGAAGTTATTATTATTACTATTAGTTATATTTAATTTATAGTAAATAGGCCTGTTATACCTTATTTTCTTAAAATATTTATTTCATTTATATAAATATATTTATTTCACGGATAATAAAATTAAATTTACAAGATAAAAAATAATTAAAATAACTTACGGATAAATAAAATTAAATGTATTAAAATAAAATTACAAATAAATATAAAAAATTATAATTATATTATAATAATATTTAATGTATTTATTTCAGAATTATTTTATATTAAAATTATATTTTTAATAAATAAAATTTAGAAATTAATATTATTTATTTACATTAGAATTATTTACTAAAAAATTATAATTTGTTTTAATTATAAGAGATTATTTGATAAATAATTTATTTTCAATTTTTTATTTATTATTTATTTTAGTTTATCATTTGTATACTTTATTTCTTTTATTAATTTTATGTTAATTTAATTTTTTGGAATTAGTATTATTTATTTATTTATTAGTAAATTGGCCTAGTATATTGTTATTTTAAAAAAAAAACATTACATAAATAAAATTAAATGTAGAAGATAAAAAATAATTAAATAATTTATTATATTAATAATTAAAATAAAATTATAAATAAATATAAAAAATTCTAATTATGTTATAATAATATTTAAAGTATTTATTTTAGAATTATTTTATATTAATTTTTCTAATAAATATAATTTAGAAATTAAAATTAATAGGTTACTTTATTTATTATTTATTTTACTTGATAATTTTTATACTTTATTTCTTTTATACTTATTATTTTTTAATTCATTTACATAAATATTTATTTATTTAATATATCAAGGATAAATGAAATTAAATATGGATAAATGAAATTAAATTTAGAAGATAATGTAAATTATATTAAATTAAATTTATTAAAATTATATAAAATTAAATGAATTTAAAATAACGTTATTATCAAAAAAACAGAATATAATTAAAATAAAATGATAAATAATTTTAAAAAAATTATAATTTTAATTTAATTTTTTGGAAGTTATTATTATTATTATTATTATTATTAAAATAACTTATTATATTAATAATTAAAAGTTTGATATATATCACATTACACATGGAGAAATGAAATTAAATTTAGAAGATAATGTAAATTATATTAAATTAAATCATTAAAATATAAACTTATAATAAATTAAAATATATAAACTAAACGAAAACAATAATCAAAGAAATGTTATTATCAAACAAACAGAAAATTATTAAAATAAAATGATAAATAAATATAATTATATTATAATAATATTTAATGTATTTATTTTGGAATTATTTT